CCCAGTTACTGTTTACCTCCATGTATTTAATTACTCTCTCTTTCAAAATGTGCTCTAAGATCTTGTGTACAATTGAAGTCAATCTAACAGACCTGTAGTTGCCTGGGTCAGGTTTTTTCCTTTCTTATATTAGCAATTTTTCAATCATCTAGGGTATGACCCCCTAGTTTAAAGATTCATTAAAAAAATCTTGCTATTGGATTTGCAATTTCATATGCCAACTCCTTTAATATTCTTGGAAGATGATTATCTGGGGCATCTGATTGTTATTGTGATTTTGCCTCCCAGTGCTACCTATTTAACAGGCGAGACTCGTTAACACACGGTACAGGAACTTGCTATGTAGCGCTATAGATTTGCTCACTAACTCACTGACACAGAAATCGACAGGAAGTGCGGAGCGGAAACGTGTTGTACGTCTTTACCGCCAACGGGGGATGGGGGGAAGAGGAGGAAGGGGCAGCAACGTTAAAGCTTTAAGGATGGTCCTTTGCCATGGCAGTGCTTTAACGTTGCTGACCGTCCCCGTCGGCGGCTCTGCTGGTAGGGACCCTACTAGCAGTGCCACCAATGGGGGAGGCAAAAAGGGCAGAGACGTTAAATGCTGCCGCGGCAGCACTTTAAGGATGCTCCTTTGCTGCGGCAGCACTGGGCTGCCAACGGGGGTGGGTGGGGGAGGGCGCAGCAATGTTAAAGTGCTGCCCGGCAAAGGACCCTTCAGTGCTTTAAGGTCCCTGCCCCTTTTGCCCCCCCTCGGCCATCGACGAGCGGGGTGCCAAAGGGAGCAACTGCCCCGGGGCCGGCGATTTAAAAGGGCCCGGGGCTCCAGACACCACTACCGCAGCAGCGCATCCGGAGTCCCGGGCCCTTTAAAGCGCCACGGGAAGCCGGGTGGCGCGGACCAGGCGGCCTGGAAGGGCTGGCTGGGGGATGCTGACCCCTAGCCCCGCCCCTTCCGCCCGAGGCCCTGCCCCGATATCCGCATGTAAACAGGTCCATACTGTAACAAGGTGTCATCAAAGAGGCAATTTTTATTTCATCAGCCTATACTCTACGTGCTAAGGAATTGTTTTTGTTGTAAAAGTAGATCCAGTTGCTCAAGTTTTTAAGGAAACCTCAACAATTGTTATTGTCTGTTCAACTGGTGTTGTACGTTAGGTAACTGCACAGACAACTAACAACTTGTCACATAAAATAATATTGTATTTACATGGGACAATATTAAGGAAGAACAGCAAATGGGGGGGAAGAAGAGCTTGTATTAAATTATTTATTTGCTGAGTATAGACATTGTGCTTGACACTGTACAGAACAGAGTAAGACAGTTCCTGCCCCAAGGAGCATTCAATCTAAGAAAAAAGGCAGATAATTAGAGTTCAAAAAGCACCAGCTGACCATGTGATAGGGATGTTCAGCAGTGCAGCAGATTTTGTTTTTAGCGTTTACAACAAATCATAGCATCTACAGGTTAAAGTGAACAATGACAGTCTTTACAGGAGATGTGCATTTTGAGGAGGATTCAAAGGAAAGGGCTTTTAGAGACTGCTGTACTGGGATGGAGAGGGCATTTCAGGCAGACAGGACAGAACAGAAAAAGGCTCACTATTGATACTCAATGCTCAGAACTCCAGATAACATTTATCAATGCTGCAGATCTCTTGTGAAGGTGACAAGTAAAACAGATTTGTTTAAACTGACCATGTGTGTCACTATTTCTACTATTTGTGCGCTATGGTGAAATTAATGCAAAGAAGAAAGAAATACAATTGCTTTTTATTGTTGAAATTTTTAAGACATGCTACTTGTTAATGACCTGTTGACCAGTGTTATCTGGAACATGACATTCCAGATTAAATGCTGAAAAAATAAAACTACAGGCCAGTCTGAAGATTAAACAAATTATTTACATTTAATAATTACTCTAAAAGTACTATTTATAATCGGGATTGAGCATCTGTCTCGCACCAGCTGGGAGAGATCTCTAACACATTCTGTGTTTAAATATACCTAAAAGATGAAATGACTGCTTGTCTCAAGAAGGGATAAT